AAGCACTTCAGATAAAGCAGAAAAAACTGATTAGCAAGTTCTACCAAGTGTGCAAGATCCAGCCTCCTGAAGTGAGACCAAGCCAAGAAACGTAATGGAAATTTTGACTGCGTTTGAAAATGGTTATTGTCACAACTTCAAAGCTACTCAACCAGTTTTCTGCATACTTAATCTGCTTTTAGCATTTTACCGCTATACTCAAAATCTATTGCCTGTATGTCCAACAATCACAATAAACATGCAGTGTTGTTGTTGGCATCTAGGGCCCAGTTATGCATTTGCTTGTTTGCTTTTTGAAGCACAAATAAGCCATGCCAGTATTCCTGATACTCAAAAATAAACAGAAGGGACAGTTTTGATCCAGTAAAATTTGGTCATGAAGGTCATGAACAACTAAAAAGCTGTGTTCATGGGAGATAGGATGGAAATTGCATTAATGATTTGCTGGTGTACAATCACAATAAAACATCATTAATCAGCCTTGATGAAGATGCAAGTCTGTTACTCCATTGGATTTTGTGGGAATAACAAAAAGCCTTTTTCTCAGATGGGGAAGGATCACCAGCATCCTTTCTGAACAACACTGGCCCTCTAAACTAAACACACCTCTAGTCTAAAATTTTTTATGCAGCCATGGAAAACAATGGAAATGAAGGTGCATGAAGGGCCAAATGAAGGGCCAAAATCCCTATCCTGCCCTGGGAAAGCATTTGAAGAAAGCATTTTCAATATCCATGGGTAACACTTACTGGAATCCTGCCATAAAACAGATGATGTCTGAGCTCATGATAGTCCCAGATGTGCCAGGCCTCCTGAAAAGAAAATGCAACAGAGGGCATGTTCTGTTTCCATTAGGCTGGAAAGAAGAGGAGTGAATTGTCCTGTACAGAGCTGTGCTGCTCCTGCTACCTAAACCAGTTCACCTCAAGCCAGTGTGGCTCTCTCTGCCCTCTTCTGCCACTGATGGTCCCTTTGGGTCCTCCTTAAATGAACAAGGAAATCAGTCTCGAGGTTCTCAATCCAGATTTTTCTTCCACAAGGTGAAAAGATAGAGCTGTTAGATCAGGTAGGCTGCATTTATTTTGCTGTTTTATATTTTATTGTATTGAAAAAGGGCTGGCACAGGGTGGGGGTTGTTCTGCAAACTGAGGATAGAGGCAATGGGTGCCTGTCACAGGGCAGCACCAGCCCTGCAGCCCTGGTGGGGTTTGTGCCATCAGAGGGAAGCCAGCAGGGTCTTGTTCCCATTTGCCTTTAGGAAGAAAGGTTTAATCACCCCCATTTTTTTACCAGCTGAGCCAATAGACAATTGGGAAGGGAAGCAGGAGACAACCAGCTTTTGGGAGTGGGAGGGGAGAGGGGCTGCCAGGCCTCGCTGTTTGTGTTCCTATTTCTGTTTTAAGTTCTGTTTTGAAATAAAACACATTATTATACCTCTGCAAGCTGTTGCATTTTTCTAAGCCAGCCCAGAAACACAGCCCATGATCTCATGGCAGCAAAGTCTGGGGGCACAAGTAAGGATACAAAGGCAAAAGAAGACAGGCTGTGGCCTCAGCAGCTCCGTGTGCTGGCAGGAGCAAATCTCTGCATAAAAGCAAAGTTAGGCAAACATCCATCTGATAGCCTTTCCAAACTGCAGCCTGACTCAGCCACAGCTCTGCTTTTCAACCCCAGCTCCTTTGTTTCAGCCCTACTACTGGTTGTTTTTCAGATCAACTATTTGCTGCAGGAATTTTGCTTTTAATTTCCCAGGCAGCTGGAGCTTATTAAATGTGCTTTTCCAGGGCAGTATTTTATATCAGTACCCGATAATGGCTCACCTGTAAACACCCTCTCTAATGAGCACCTTTGGGCACCCCCGGCCATGGTTGGCACTGGGGGAGGGGGTGGATGCTGGGTAACAAGTTTAAGCCCCAGCTTTCTTCAGTGTGTTTTCCCCCCCTTTCCTAATCTCTCCTGACATAATGTTGAAAGTTATTACTTAGCTGCATAAAGAAAACCATCTGTCAATTATTCACCTGCTCACATGTGGGACCAGGTACTCAGAAGCTGTGAGTGCAAGGCAAGGCAACCACTGCCCAGCTTCTGAGAAAGCACAAGTCCACTTTTAGTGCTCTGATTCCATCATTTACGTAGGGTGAGTCAGTAAAAAAATCTGTTCTCCCTCAGAGAACAGCTGAGACTCCTCCAAATACTATTTTTGACATCCAAGGCACAGCTGAGGAGCCCTTCAACTTCTTTTGAGAGCATTTGGAAGATGAGACTTGTAGTGTAAATAAGTTTTTAGTGCATATCTTGCTGAAGAGATGTATGGAGGTTGTTTGTGCTCACCTCTAAAGTGGATCCTCTTGTTGTGGAGCAAAAATGCAACACTCCAGCTCCAGCCAGCACCCAGAGCACTCCTGTTGTCAGAAATGACAAAATTTACTGCTTCTGCAGCTTCCCTGTCATGGAAATTGGACCTTTCAGAAGCACTTGGTGTCTGTTGGAGCCTGGCCCTGTCACTACCAGTTTAATAACATTTTCAATTGAGCTAGACTCTGAATAGAGGGGTTTGGCTATGTGTGCCTTGACTAAAATGCCCATTTTTTTTTTTTTTCTTTGCATCCTGAAAATAACAGGAAATTGTACCAAAGGTTTTGTGAGACTGCTCGAAAAGACCATCTGGGAAAAAAGTCATTCTTGAAGAAACTCATGACCTGTAGGCAGACTTTTGCTAATGTTACTCCACAGTAGATATTTTCTGCTGTGGTTGGCAGAATCACTTGAGGTCTCTGGATTTCTTATTGGCCTCTCTGGAGCTTAAAAGAAGAAAACCAGGACTTTTTGTTTTGGCCTTGTGTGCTTGAATATGCTGTGGCATAGTCTTCAGTGGACACTGCCCCCTGGGTCCCTAGAATTGGGAAAAAGCTTGAAAGCCAGCCTTTAAGAGAATCCTTGCTTAAAATTGAAAGATATATTTTGGTAAACAAAAATTCTGCCATTTAAAAATCTGGCTTGTGTTGTTAATGTCTTCATTGTTCTTAAAATCTTTTTTTCTTCTGGTGATCTCCAAGGAGAGGCTGGGAGTTCTGAAACAAAGTTGTCTAGATGGGTCTTCACTGACACCCTGAATCCAAGGTGGGTAAAGCTGGTTGGGGTGGTGGGGGTGCCTCAGCTGAGATCTACTAAAGAAAAAAAAAGCCTAATTCCCAAGGAATTTATGCTGTATACCTGCAGCAATATTGCCAGACCTGGGAGGGTTAAAATACTTGCTAATAGGTAACACCAGGCATATATTACTCACTTCCCTGTAGAAGGGCTGAAAGCTTCAGGAAGATGTTTTTCCTCCAAGCCTCCAAATTGGATGGAATAATAGAACAGTTTCCTTAAATTGTACACTCACAAATCACAGCAGTTATAACTTGAACTCCCAGAAATAACGTGCTAAAGATTTTGCAGAAGATAAACTGGGATTACATTTGCTGTAAATAGCCAGCGTTCACAGAGAAGTGTGTCAGCTACTGGAATAACTGTGCCTTAACTTTGCAGATGATCTGCTATTTGTGGGTGCTCCATCTTTTCAAGAATAAAAGGAAGAGGAAAACAAAGCACACTTGGTGTTGGTTACAGTGAGATCAGTCAGGTCAGTGCCGAGCATTTCCAGAAATCCCAGGCAATGGATGCTAAACTGCTTGTTGTGCTGGCTGGATAGGAAAAATGTGGAATCTATAGAAGCCAGAAGCAAAATGGCCAGATTAAGGCAGCATTATCAGCAGCTGTTTTTTGGTCTTAAATAGAAAGTGCTTTTTAAGGAGGTCTGTTGGGAATACTCCCACAACTAAGTGAGCCCACAGCAGCGTGTTGCTGATGACTAAGTAAATGGAGATGGAGCAGAGATGCTTCCCAAAGGAGTTGCCATATTTCTTTCCAGGATTTCTTGGACAGGAGGATATGTCTGAGCTGTTTGTGATGCCTTCATAATAAGTATGGTCCTTGTGAGACCTGGTGTGCACGCGCTGCTCCAGCGTTTTGGTGTGTGCAGTGTGTCCGAGGCGCTGGGAGCACCTCGGGCTGTCCCTGCACCCAGCCCACAGGGCCAGCCCTGGCACCTGCTCAGCCCTGCTGTGAAAATGGCTCTGTTTGGGCCAGCTCTTGTCCTCCCAGACATGGATGGATATGGAAATGGATATGGAAACACTTCTGTGTTGGGAGGTGCAATAGGATGAGTGGGAACTGAGCTGGGTCTGTTGTGTTTCATGCTAAAAACTGGATCCCTGGGCACAGGCTGCAGAGCTGAGCCAGGATGCCTCTTGCTGCTTTACAGGGGGTCTGTCTGAGATGTGCACAGGGGAATGTCCCTGGGAGTTGTACAAAATCTCCAGATTTTTCCCAAGACAGGTGGAAAACTGAAAAAAATTGCATAAAGGGTATTTCAGGATTTATGTCTTCCTCTCAGCAATGTTTGAACAATTTTGCCAGCATCCAGTGTTTCTGTTGCATACAAGATGCTACACAGTCAATGCAGCAGTGAAGAAATCACTGCTTTGCTACAACTTCAGCATAAACTCAATTTACAGCTCACAGTCCAAGGATGCTCAGACCTAGCCATAGATGATAGTGTGTTCTAGATCCTCCTCTCTTTAGTTCTTAAAAACACCTCTTCCATTCAGGACATGCTTTTTCTGAACACATTTCCTTGTCAGTTTACAGTTTCTATTTCAGAATACTTTGCTTTTACCTGCAGCAGAAGCAGCCTGACAGCACAGAGGACAACTGTCAGGGGCACACACGCTGCAGATGCCATTAGAGGCAAGTCAGCCCTTTCAAAGACATTTTTAAAATATCATCTCCACAGCCGGTGTGGCCATTTGTCAAAGACAAATGGCACTTGGGGAGCCTGGAAACCAGGATCAGCCATTAGGTGGATCTGAAATATGTGTCATCTGTTTAGGGCTGTATCCCCTTACGCGCTAGAAGGCTGGTCCCTCGAGGCTGGGGAGATCAGAGGGAAACAGGAGACCCATCTGCAACCTGCTGGTGAGCCAGTCACCAAGAGATGATCCCTGCTGAGGGTGAGAGCCACGGGCTGAGTGCATCTGTGGCAGTGACAGCAGCAGTGCCACAGCCATGGCAAGGCCCAGCTGATGTGACCTCTGGGGAGGGCACCTTCACACAGGCAGAAAAAGAAGGGTGGGATTGTTGGGTGAGTCACTCCGGAGTGCTCGGCATGGGTGTAAAATCAGTGGGCTCAGCCTGGCCCTGTGGTTTCCTTTTTTTCTGGGCAGGGATCTGCACCAGCCAGAGTTGCTGCTGGGTGGATGGTATTTGCAACCGCTTTATTTTCCCTGGGCTAAAAATACTCTGCAAACTTGGGTTTTATTTTCCATTCCTAACAGCTGAGCCCCGGTCTGGAGGGAATGAATGTGTTATCCCACTGTGAAAACATCTAAACAGGTGGAAAGGACAAGGGAGGGTAGAAAGAGAGGGTGGAGAGTCTGGTTTTAGACAGAAATCCTGTTTCCTTTCTAAAAACAGACTGAAGGCCCTGTAGGTAATTTTAAAACTAAAACCTGTATTCACCTTGTCATCTGTTTTCTTGTGTGAAAGAGCCTTGTGTTGGAAAACACCAGGAGGAAAATGGTTATGGAGACCCTGTCAGCGGAAACAGAAAACTGTGGGCACTGTGCTGCTCTTTCAGTCAGACCCAAACATTCTGCCAATAAACCTCAGTTTTCACCTGTAACTTCTGTTATGCCAGCTGGACTCTCCCATTCAGCTTTACCAAAGGGCTTTCTTTTATCTTCTTCTGAGAAAGCTCTTTATGAAAACTATCCTAGCTCTGAGACAGCCCTGTTGAGGCAACCCATTGCTGCCTGGTTGTGCTGTTTCTGTAGCCATCCCCGTGCCTCAGCACAGAAAAAGTTATCAAACAGGTTGAATTGTGCTAAATGTTATGTTTCCCATTTTTTCAGTATGGAAATATTTTCCACTAAGAAGTGTGATCTCGCCTGGTAAGACTCCCTTCATCCAAATCCTTTCTGGATTGCAAGTAAGTCTGCAAAGGCAAGGGCTAATGCACTAATCCATTCTGGTACTGTATGTCTTTACAGGAGCTTTTTAGAAGAGAAAAACAAGAATAAGAGTCCAGAGACTTGTGCTATACAGAATGTAATCAATAAAGTTATTCAAAGTTTTACACAAAAGCACTCACATGGGTCATTAGGGCAGAAACTTTAATCCACTGAGGTTTAAAATGAGGAATTTCTTAAGTAGCACCTGAGATTCTTTTTTCTTCTACAAGTCTTTATGGCTTTGTGGATTGTAAATCCTGTGAAAACACTTTTTTTTTTCTTTTTTTTTTTTTTTTTTTTCCCAAATAAATATTGTGGAGGAAAAATGAAAAGAGGAGGGATTGTGGGATGTGATTCTCTTGTGGTAACTTCTGCCACTGCTATCATTTGTGTGGTCTCTTTGGTCCAAAGCAGAGGGAAGTCTGGGAGGGAAGCCTGTGGGAACTGTAGAATAAGTGAATAAATGAAAAGGCACATCTAGCTGCTACACTCTACTCAGATAAGGCTGTTGTACATATCAACTGTGTATTTATTGCACATGTTTTATTTGCAGTGTTGCTGGCATCAGAGTGCAAGCACATTCCAGTTGTCTGTATTAGGCCTCCACAGCAGGTCTGGTGGGGATGTGAGTGTTCCCCTCCACCAGGAGATCTGGGGCCTTTACAGTGGAAATTTAGGAATCCTGCTGTTGCTGGATGAGTCTGGTTGCATTACCCAGAGGTGCCTTGAACAGCCACATTAACTAAGGACTTGTGTGCTTGTTAGTTTTATGCATAAGACTAAGTTCATTTCAGGGCTGTCAGAGGCTCACGGCTGGGAATAGCTGATTTAGGCTTGTTTGGGGGGACCATGTCTGCTTGAGGCTAAAGGAGGACATGTGGGAGAGCTCCTCAGAGATTTCTTCTGCTCTGTATAAGCCACTGGAACAAAAGGTAAGTGGAGTTTGTTATGATTCATTCACACTCCACAACACTAATGGCCATTACAATGAACTCAATAAGAAAAAAAAAAAAAAAAAAGAAAAAAAAAAAGAAAAAAAAGCACAGCCAGAAGAAGTGGTTGGGTCACCACCAACAGAAAGATTTTTACTTTGTCCTGGTTACAAATAGTCACAGTTCAATACTGAGAATATGAAAATGTTGTGATGTTCACTGGTGTTCCAGAGAGCACCCCTGAATTGGAATTGCAGCCTGGCCAAAGTCAAACAAACCAGAAGCAAGTGCCTTAGAGGGCAGAATAGAGAAAGATGACCAAAGGAAGAAAACATGAGCAGGGGAAAATGATTTTGCTGCCTGGCTGCTGGTTTCAAGGTTAAAGAGAAAAGATGAAATCAAAGTATCCATTAATTCTAACTGTTCAATCTAACTCAGTTTGCTAATGCTGCAAAACCACTGGTTCACTTTTATCTAAAACTGCAAAAGTGTAATTCAAAGCCTGTTCAAAGAGAATAATGAGATAGCCTGGAAGACCATTGCCTAAAACCCAGTTACAATTATATGTTATCTGTGTGGACTCCAGTTTTTATTAGCTTGCATTTGCCCTCGGGGGCATCAGACAAAGGCCATCTATTTGTCAGGCTCTGGAGGAGTGCTAAACCCTTTGGACAGGGCTGAGGGCAGGACTCCATCTCTCTCCCCGGGATTTCCTGGAGGGATGTAAGCATGTGTGTCTTTCCCCTGTGCATGTCCTGCACCAGTAATCTGCAAAGGCATGGCTGCCTTCCCCTGGGGGCTGCTCTGCAGCAGGAGCCCTTGCTTGGCTAAAAGACTTGCAATCTTATCCCAGGCAAATGACTAAAATTGATTGCTTTTTCAGCTGAGCAAGGTCTCCGGACAGAAAACTGGATTCAGAGCTGGAGGAAGCAGGAAGGGGGACTGCTGTACCTCCTGTTGGGTAAATACCCCTTGCTCTTGCCTGCTGGTGGCCGCCTGGTGATCTTGTCTGGGTTGTGGTCAGAGTATGGCTCATGTAGGGGCAGAGGAAGTATGTTAAATCCAAATAAATTAATGATACACTGGACATTTGGGAGCAGCTAATTCTTATTTTGCCCATCAGAAGCCCAGTCCCTCCCTCTGCACCTGTGATTTAGTAACAGGTACAGTTTTACAGGCTCAGATTAGTCTGTCTTTGAGTACAAAATTAATTCCTTACATAACTTGGCTATGAAGTGAATGGATTGATTGATGCTGATGATTTGATGTCATTCTGTTAAGCTGTTTTTTCCAAGGAAGAAAAATGTGCCATGATATGTTTATTTGTATGCTGCAGAGCATAAATGAAAGAGCTGATTGAACTGTTTTTTATTAAGAAAAAAAAAAAAAGGGAAAATAATATCTTTGCTATCAGTACTCTTTTGTATCTTTATTGTCTTTGATTCTTTATGGCCTTTACTGGCTTCAGTGGACTTTGGATCGGACAGTTGCTAATTCATCCTCAAATCTTTACACAAATGACAACGGCAAGTTCACCATGTGCGCAAATTCCTTTATCTTCTGGGAAAATGTGAAGTTTGCATCATAAACCAGAGGCCTACGGTAAGTTCTGAGGCCACTTCTGTCACCCCTACAGAAGGATCATCTATCAGCCATCCGATGTGTTTCCTTGCCAAACTGCCAATATGAGGAAAAGTAGGCTTTTGTGTGATGCTGTGTGTGATGTCAGGTAGCTGTGGGCAAAGAGTGACTTTTAGCAGGCACTTTTCTAAGGAAAGAAACATCCAAGATATTGTCTAGCAGGGAATGATGGCTAAAGGAAAAGGAAAAGGATACTCAAAGATGGAAAAACTGTTACTTCAGTGTGCAATGGTACCAAACCCCATGTGAGCAAGGAGTTCAAGGTCCCTCTTATTTAAAGTGTTTAGGACATGGAGTGATGCAGGGGTGGAGCACAGAAGGAGACAAAAACCTCTCTGCATGCTCTCTAAGACTTGAAGACAGCTCTTGTAGGAGCCTCTTGGAGAGAGAAATTTTAAGAAAAAAAGTGGAGAAGCAACTGTTGTGTGGATTTGGATCCAGGCAAAGCTTAACATCCCTGATGAATAAGGACAACTCCTTTGGCAGGTGGCATGGAATGGTGTATCTGTCCTGTCACCATGCTGAGCTGAAATCTCACATGATCAGGCTGATGTGATCAAATGAATGTTTCTTCCACTTGACTGCAGCTTCTCTGAAAGTATCAAGCCCCAGTCTCTGGGGTGAATGTAGAATTTTGCTCCTCATTATTACAGATTATTATATTTCCTGTGCCAGTCACTGGAAACCTGCCTGAAAAGACATAGATCCCCGTGGAGCAGCAGCCAGAACCTGGATCCCAAAGCATCCCTGAAAGGGCTGCACGATGCTAAGTGCTGGGTCATTCTGAAGCACTTCCAAGCCATGACTGTTATTTTTCTCTGCTAAAAACCATTAAAAAACTCTGAGGAGTAACACAAATAACAGGGATGAAAGCCTGATCTTTGTCAGAGATCCAGACACTGACTGCATTGTAGTTTCAGCAGCGGGCATGTGGCTGACTTAAAGTCAAGGAGGCAAAATATTATAGGAGCACTCAATGCAGCCTTGGAAAACTAGGATTTAACCCTTTTTCTGCCTAACCAGTTCACTCCATCTTGGAGTGAACAGTGGCCATGTATTTTGTAAAGGAGGAGCTGTTTTTGTTTTTATTTAAAAAGAGCATTCAGATCAGCTGAGTTTGAGCCAATGCTGAAAACAGAGCTGCCAAATTTATCATTGACCAGAAGATTTGTATGGGGCTAAAGGAGGTTGGTACAGAGAGATTAGAAGCAGATTATGAGCATGCTTTTAGCTTTATCTGTTTCTAGAAGCAAATAATTAGCCTCAGAAACAACTTCATCGTAAAATGAGCTCTAAAATATAAATTATTGGTGTGAAAAGATTGATAAAAGTTTCAGGAACTGTTATTTTTGCCAGAAGAAATTAATTCCCCAAGGACTTAGTTTCAATCAACATGGTTCCTGTAACTCTGCTATGAAAAGCCAGCTTTTCAAGAAACTCATTTAGTTCCTTATTTCAAATCCTCCCTGCAGCCTGCCTGTAGAAGAGGGGAAAAAAAGAAACAGTTCTGATGACAAAAATGGGGTCATGCAACTTCTGGAGCTTTGTTACAAAATGGAGAAAATTGCTTTCTTTTTTCTTTTTTTTTTTTTTCTTTTCTTTTTTTTTTTGGCGGTGGGAGTAGGGAGATAAAGTGATTTGATTGACCTTGTTTGCTGAATTGAGTGACAGGAGCAGCTCCCAGCAGGAACACTGGGCTTATCTCATCCAGGAGAGATTGTCACCCAGGGAAATGAGCATAATCAAGCTGAGAAATGGCATTAATTTGTGCTTGTGCCATGAGTGGTCCTGATAACTTTGGAAATGAAGGAACTGCCCATGGTTTGTCAGCAATACCCAAGTTTTTCCTTATGTTCTCCATGGCAGCATGGGTGTCTGATGTCACCTCTTACAGCTTAAACAGCCATGTGGAAAGCATTATAGGATTTTTGGCAACAATGGGGAAAAAGTGGTTGGTTTAAAACTGTTATGTTTATATCTTTTTCAAAACAATGAAGACTCAAGTAGTCTCCTTATGCCCTGTTCCCTTATGTTGCTTTGAAAGCCTCAGTCAAAGAAATTATGCACCTTTCAGGAGAGTAGACATCAGTCCTTTTACATATTTGAAAACCTAGAAAAAAATTATTGGAAAAAAATAAGCTTAAAATAAAATATTGTCCCATATCTCAACATAGGCAAAGTGTTAAAGGCAAATGAGAAATAAAAACTCTTTGTACACTGGTCTAGACATTAGAGAGGATTTTTATAGGACAAAACTTTATGCTGCTGGTACTCTCAGTGATGATTAAGAAAGCAGACGTTTCCAGCTAACATGATGGGCTTTTTGGCCAAACTTGAAAACTGCTGATTTTGTCCTGGGAAAACATCTCCCATGCTGTGTCTCCAGCATTGTTAAATTCTCTTCTGCCTCCCCATTCTGGGCATCTCCACCTGGTGAAATCCACATTTCCAGCAGAACACAAATCCTCAGGAGGCAGGATCAGAAGGTAGAGCTGAGGTCTGCAGTGTGTCTGTGCCAGAAGAGCATCCCTGACCTTCCCCTTTGTAAGGAAGAGCTGGCAAAAGGGTGGACCTTGCTGCAGGGTTAGGACTGGCACATGTGCAGGGAAACACTCGTGCTACTGGC